ACCACACTCGAGCACGACCATATTCAAACACAACCACACTCGAGTATGACCACATTCGAGCACGACCTCACTCATACACAATCTCACTCGTACACAAGCACACTTTCAGAGATAAGCACACTCTTCCACAAGCACATATACGCCCGAGTTCAAAGCATGAATCCACTCACACGCACATACGTTCACACACAAATACTTACATTGCTATAATAGCTCTCAGGAATATTAGATTAATTGTTGTCAGACATCCTCATGCGTTTACTTATGACATGAAATTCCAAGAAGCTTACGAGTTGATAGCAATAGAGGAATGTAGATTAATGTTACAACTTGTTCACTGACTTTTGGTTGGTTGAGAGGATCTCTAAATTGTATCCCATCAGGATTGGTTCCATAAATTGTTCGTAAATTTTAGTTTGGTCTCCCCCATAATTATTAGTGAAATAATATATTTGTAAGTGTTAGATTCAGATTCACAAAGTGTGCATCCATAATGGAATTACTCTTTTGGACGTCATGCGATCAATATATGGTTATTGATTTCGATAAATGGATGAAAAAATACAAAAACCGTTGACTTTGGAAAGCGGGGGAAATGTCAGTTTTCTCTATACCATCTCCCTCCAAGACATGAACAAGCACAATACAAAACCAGAGTTTCATGTGGTGCTTCTACTGCTTTTGGGACAATTCGAACATTCGCCAGTCAGCCACGTAACGTCAGTAGCTACTAGGATTCCTTCGGATTATTGTGAGATAATCCACTTGAAGAAGGAAGATCAGCACATCTTTCGGCGTTAAATAATAGAAGTGGCAGGATATGGAAGGAAAAATTTCTTGCGATCTCAGCCCATTCTTGAACAAGTACTCCCTCAACCGTCTCGAATTAATCGGAAGTAACCATGAAAATGACAAAACAGATCAGCTCTTAATTAACAGAGCAGATTTTAATTAATCAATTTGTTATCTACACTTACTTCTATAAGTTGGAAAAGAGATTCGTGCATCTTATATTACACCACCACAAATAATATCTCATTCACATTTTCCTTTGCACTAGATATTAAATATTCATTTTTATTTATACTTCACTCTTATTTATCCTCCATTTCTATTTAGAAATACTTAATAATCCGTAGATACAATTCTTCATACAATAGTTATATAAATGTTCAAATATTCACATATATATCAACACATTTCTATACATTTACTATACCACATATTCTTTGTAAATATGTTTCTACATAAGGCTTTCTATATTCTTCCCACCATCCAATTATACATCTTATTACTTTCTCCTTCTTCCCTCCGGTTCCTTCGCTAATCGCATTCCCGTCCTTCGTCTTTATCATCAAGTATCGTCACACCTCTTTGTCTTGCCCAGCTTGTATCTTTCAACTCTATATTATTTTCAACTCCTGCGCTCCCTAACCTTTATTCAGCAGTTTTGAATATTTATGTTTTTCTTTATCACTCTTCCTTGCTGTCCCAGACTCTATAATTCTTATCGAAGTAGTAGAATTCGGTCATTTTTCTATCTTTTTATTTGGAGTGATAACAATAGATCTCCCCTGTAACGTGTTCTTCAATTTCTTATTTAGCAATACATTATATTTATAAATTTCGGTTATTGCCTAACTTTTGAACTCTTCCTAACGATTTCAGTCGCGTCAGTCGCTTTAACTTAACTCTACGTTACAATTGTTACAAGGGTTTTCACGACTTCGTTAATAAGAACGTTATCAATTAGACGTCAACTGGCATTTTGTTAGACCTCTCCCAATACAGTACGGCATCTCTTTTATCCTTCACTCGCCATCATTGTTAATGAAATTACATGCACTGTCTCAACAGTTGAACAATGCTCTTGTGTATTTCGAGATGCTTCATGAAATATCTCGTATTCAATCGATTCGAGACGCTTTAATTTATTTTGAGAGCTGTCATTCTCAAAGGGAACTAATTGGTCATTAGGGAGAAAGAAGAGAGGTACTTCTTTCCGACTCTTTTTTTTTTTACAGTGGAGTTCAATTGCCGTTGCATAAAATGATCCTCACGCCATTGCGAGTAGCAATTGGCTCATTTACTGAAAAGGGACTGGAAATGTTCAAAGGCAAATTACGAAGTTATTGATCTGGTTTTGGTGCAATTACCGAGAGATCCATTCTTTGCAGAATTCCACGTTTCTGTTCTTGGACTTAAATATTCTCTTTGTTACTTTATCATCGTTTGAATTTAATTCCTATTGGTTTCATTTCGATACATTTCTCATTGAAGTTGTAAACCGTAAATTTATGTTTCACACACGCATAGTATTTGCACAAACACTACATACATTAACATATTTTGAATAATATTAAATGCACAAATTGGCATAACGTATGTTTTATTAGTAGTAATAATAATAATAATAATAATAATAATAATAATAATAATAATAATAATAACCTTTAAACTACTGTTCACCTAGAACAAAATCATGGAAGATGGTTTTTCGTATGCATATATCAATCTGCTTAAATTTAATTTACTTTTCCCATCACCATCCATAACATTTCTCTTGCATTTAAAAGAGTTTTTGGAAATTCGTAGATATATTCAAGTTGAGCCAGATCTAAGAGAGAATTTTAGCTTCGGAAATCGTCCTTTGTCCGATTTTGGTACTAGTGTAGTTCACGGAAAAAAGGAAAGGAGATTCAGGGAAACAGATAAAGTGCCAGACGGACAGACAGACAGACAGACAGACTAACGTGCTGAGAGAGGATGCGGGACGGAGTCGAGACGGATGGAGTAAATGACGGACACAGAGAGAGACGGACAGAGATTGATTGATTGATTACTGATTCCGGGCGTGTCAACTGCTAACGTTATCGGTCCCGTAAGCGTAGTGCTTTTTTTATTGCGGGAGGTGGCTGTTTTATTCCCCCACTGCAGGGCGAGATCCGTCGCTGACCTACACGTCGTTTTGTAGGGTTTTCGCAACCAGGTATCTCCCACAAAAGAGGCACGGTCACAGCCAGGACAATCTCTAAACTCCCGACCGGTCTTCCGGCATGTTTGGAATGTAGGTATGTAAATGTAAGTGTGTATAAGTAACGGGGGGGTGATAGGATAAATAAGAGGATGGAGAGTTCTCGCGAGGTTCGTAGCCCGTTTTTTAGGGTACTTCTCCGACCTTCGACTGGTGGTGATCGGAGAAACCACGGAAAACTACCTATCAGAGCCGTTAGTCGCTACAATTCTCCCCCAGACAACGACTGGATTCGACCTATCTAGCTTGTGCCGAAAATCGTTCCAATGTTGGCACTCGAATATAGGACCTCACAGCCAAAGGAACTGTAGTGACATCAGGTAATGCCCTGAGCCACCTCTCCCAGTGAGACGTAAAGAGTGACTGAAAAATACGAGACAAATCCGTAGACGGACGAAGGGACAACAGTCAGACGGACATTCAAGCGGACACACTTTTTTAAATTACTTTTTCCGAACCTCCAAACTTTTTCCGACAACCTTTGGAGATCGACAGTGCCTCACAAACTACAGATGTGTAGCTCCATGTCCCTCCACCCCCTCCCGCATCAATCTTCCCTGCTGCTGTTGTGTGTGGCGCTGATGAGCTAAAGGGCCGTGCGCGTGCGGGTGCGTGTTGCAGTGCGAGGCCGTGCCCGGGCTGGGCTTCCGTCGCGGCAGCTACAAGTGCGTGTGCCGGCGCGGCTTCTACTTCCCCGACACGCGCGCCGCGCTGCGCTACTACAACGGCTCCGTCGTCGAGGAGGAGTTCGAGAAGCTCACCATGGTGAGATACAGAGAGAGTGAGAGACAGACAGACAGACAGACAGACAGATAGAGAGAAAGAGAGATACACAGAGAGAGACAGACAGACAGAGTTACGGACAGAGAGACAGAGAGAGACAGAGAGAGACAGAGAGAGACAGACAGGCAGAGACAGAGAGAGACAGACAGACAGAGACAGAGAGAGACAGACAGACAGAGAGTTACGGACAGAGAGACAGAGAGAGACAGATAGACAGAGAGACAGACAGACAGAGACAGAGAGACAGACAGAGACAGACAGAGAGACAGACAGACAGAGAGACAGGCAGAGAGTGAGAGAGAGATGCCTATTACTATTTTCTCTTCTGTCTATGGATTTAAAAACTTTTGTCATGCTGAATATTGGTCTTTATTTTACAGACACAAAATTGTTTTTTGGAGGGCAGTTTAACATATGATTGCAATATACCAAAACATGAAATACATAAGTAGGAACTAGAAATGTTTGATGCCGTGTAACAGAAAATATTTTGGTCTTTATCTTATAGAGAGAAAATTGTTTTTTGGAGAGAAAATTTTCACAAAATACAATATAATTTCTCTATACTACGATATGTAATACATAAATAGTAACGTTTTGTAAATGATTATTTTGATCTTCAGTTTGGAGTTAAAAATGTTAAAACCACTAAATAAATATTTTACGTTACAACAAGCCATACAGCCAGTATGATACTATATTTTCCTCTTATTGAGGACTAGGAAGTTCAAAAGTGATTTATCGAGGTGCATTTTGTATAGTGACTTGTTTACATTGATGTTATGAAATTCTTTTGTTTAATTCTGACCATCGTTTAAAATATTGTATTTATTTGTTTTGAGATTTTAACTCCAGCCTGACGATGGAAATAATAATTTACGAAACGTTGATATTTATGTATTACATATTTTAGAATATTGCAATCATATTGTATTTTGTGTAAAATTGTTCTCCAAAAAACAATTTTCTCTCTATAAGATGAAGATCAAAATAGTTTGTTACACGGCATCAAACATTTCTGGTTATCAAAATGTGTCAACAATGTTCGTTTCTATGCTAGAAAACAATGTAGCATTCATTACTTGATTCTTTGTTCACATAATTCAGTTTCAGTCTTGTTACCAGATCTTAAAGAAAACGATCAGTGAATACAAAAATAAGGGAACCGTAGAAGAATGAATGTAACTCTTAATGAATGATAAGAACAAAAATGGACGGACAATTTAGAAAGAGAAGAAAGAAATGAACTACTTACTGAACGAACGAATAAATAGATGACTAAATGCACGACTAACTGACTGACTGACCGTAACTGACTGACCGATCAAATGAATGGAAGAAGGAACCAATGATTGAATAGATGAATATATTAGTGGTTGAATGATGAATGAATGAAGTTACACGTTAATGAATTAGTGGATAAATGAATGTCCTAGGAATTCACTCAATGGATGCATAATTGAATGAGACGACGAACGATAGAGTGACGAATGAATGACTGCATGGACAACCAATCGACTGACCAACGACCGAAATAATGAATGAATGAAAACACGAACTAACAAAAAGACTAACGAAAGAATGTATTAGTTGTTAATTGAATGAAGTAATATATTAATGAAGTACAGCATGAATGAACGACCTAAAAATATCCAGTGAAAGATAACTGAATGAAGAAGTGCCGAGTGATTGAATGAATGAATAAACGACTAACCGACTGACCGACAAAACGAATGAAAGACTGAAAAACGAATTAAGAAACATAAGAATTTATCAATGAATGAAATTACGAACGAATGAATCAATTATAAGTTGAATGAATGAAGTATCACAGTAATTAGTTAGTTGATGAATGAATGAACGAAAAAGTAACCAATCAATAAACGAACGAATGATTGACTACAGCGACGGCCGATCGAGTGAACGATTTCCGAGTGAGTGAGTGAGTGAGTGAATGAAGGAACAAGCGAACAGAGAAGGAGGCTCGCGGACGCGCGCGCGCGGGGGGCAGGCGCAGGAGAGCGCGTACGGGGCGCCGGGCGCCTTCGAGTGCCTGCCCTGCGCCGAGGGCTGCGACGCCTGCGTGGACGACCGGCCGTGCGTGGCCACGCTCAACTGGGCGCTGCGCACCACCATCCTCGCGCTCACCTGCGTCGCCATCTTGTGCCTGCCCGCAGCCGCCATCTTCACCTGGAAGTTCGGACACGTCAAAGTGAGTGGCGAGTTTGCTCGATACTAAAACTAGGGACTGAGTGAAAAACGCTTAGATGAGAAGATCAGACGTCATGCCAAGAAAAAATTACTTGTTTATTATTTATAGTAAATAATCATCGTATATTCGATGAATCTGATTTATATTGATTTCTTCCTCTGTAATTAATATTATCAAAAATAATGTATTTTTAATAATAATAATAATAATAATAATAATAATAATAATAATAATAATAATAATACACCGCCAAAATAGATTATATATAAAGATTGCTATTAATTAATAAGTACTACGTTTGTTGTTCATACTGACGTCTATCATTTCATTTAATCGTAATTAAGGCTTTATTAATTTATTCATTTCAATTAAGGAGTGAACTTAATATTTTTCTCGTAAGACGGTGCAGTTTTCATTGTGTTATTATTGTTAAATATGTTACATAAAAAATCAATAAGTATGTGACGAAGGAATATTAAGGAAGGTTTCAGCATATATAAATGTTCAAACGCATAAAGTGTTTTATTTTATTAATAATCTACAAAACTGTTATTCTAGAAAGTACTCGCATTTTGTTTCAATATCTGAATTATATTTTTCTACGCTTGGACCATCGGATATCGCAAACACTACATTTCAATCAATCATTCTTTAAACTTCTAAGTTTATTAGGTATTATTATAGGATAAATTTTAAAGAAAAGGCATACAATAAAACATGCTCAACATAGCTACGATATCTGGAGTCAGAAAATGTGTATTGTGTTGTTTTATCACTCTTGAACGGAAACGCATTTCGTATAGGCAACACGCTCGCACTCGCGTGCTGCGAGTTGCATAACCACTGACCCTGAATACAGTAACCAGCCTGCGTACACAGTCTTTCTCCGTACACTGCTGATATCAAAATTCAATTAGAAAAAAAACATACAAGGAAATAATATCCGAACCACGCAGCTTAATATTCTTAAGATGGTTTTAAATAAACACGATTTCTATGAATTTGTACATAATTATGCACCAACACCTCAGTGAGAGAGCACCTAAAAGCACTCTCCACTTCAGGCATGCTCTTTGCAAAAGGCGGAATAGTGGAGAGCCGTGAACGACATGCTCGTGAGCCGCGATAAAATGAAATCAAAAACTTAAGGTATATAATATTACCAGATACGCTATTGTTGCTGTTATTAAAAAATATTTTATGTCAAACGTTGGTTGTGTTTCGTAAAACTTTTTAATAGCATTTACATATGGTAATAAAAATTCACATATTTTCTTTTTCCTTTACAAAAAAAAATATTGTGAGAAATTTTGAAGTTTTAATGAGATATATAGGTCACCTTCGTCTCTAACAGCTAGATTATTTAATGTATTTTTTAAAACAAAAATGAGGGATGATTAACAAGATATAACAGCAAAAAAGAATCGATTGGGAACTATACGTTTCGATTTCATTCTCAGTAACTAAAGGTCATGCGTTAAAGAGGCAGATATTTATGCTTATATTTATATCGATTGTTTTAATTTCTTGTAGGTAGTTCGAGCTGCAAGTCCTGCGTTGCTGAGGTTCATCACTCTTGGTGCGTTTTTTATCTATGGCACGGTGAGTGTTTCATGGTAAATTCCATAAATTACACTGGTTTGATAAAATAATTGTGATCAGGGCCATAATCATGTTTAATCGTTCGCTAAGATTGTCTCACATCTTTGTAGCCTTTCGTTTCCTGAACATGTGATTGTAGTTGAGATAAATAAAGGAAGCACTTGTATCATTTGGGAGGTTTTAACTTTTAAGAGTGGAATATAAATGATGGAGGTGGGGTCAACAATGAACTCTAACGTAGTTTTTGATCCTATAACTTTGTTTATCCAAAGAGTAATTGTTAAATCGTTGACTTTCATTATAATAATGACTTATTATTTTAAGCTATCGAACCTTTTGTGATAGTTTCGTCTTTTAACGCCCATCGGATGTTAAGAAAAAAATTGCAGAAATCACTTCGTGGAAACTGGCAAACTTTTACGAAGGCCTGGCACGAAGTCAGCGTTCCAAAACATCCCAAATATGTTCTATAGGATTCAAGCCAGGACTCTGTGCAAGCCAGTCCATTACAGGGATGTTATTGTCGTGTAACCGCTCCACCACAGGCCGTGCAGTATGAACAGGTGGTTGATTCTGTTGAGAGATGCAATCGCCATCCCCGAATTGCTCTTCAGCAGTGGAGAGCAGCAGTGAAGCCAGACGGTGTTTAAAACATCAATGTAGGACTGTGTCACACAAAACAAAGGGTGCAATCCCCGTTCACAAAAATCCCGTCCGCGAAAATACAAACCGACTCGTTGCAGGTAAGGAAAATCCTCAAGCACAAGGAAAATTCTACGTGATTCGCCACCAAAAATGCAAAGAAATTCCAATTATCTTTTTTTCTTAAAAATTAAGTTGTATTAATATTTTGTGCTTCAAAAGGGATACAAATTGTTACACGACGAGCCATTTTTTTTTCAACTGTGCTTCATTGAATCCTCAATCAGAAAGTGAGCACAATACACTAACAAATAGTTCAAAAAGAAGACGGGATAATAAGTCCGATTGTTATTTATGTTACGAGAGGAAAATATCGCATTTTATTTTGCGAGTAGGAAAGGTACTCAATGCCGATAGACTCTACGCACAACTCGACGAACAGTACAAAATCACTTTTACCACTGTGTTATCCACTATTTTTAGACAACCTTTATTGACATTCATTTTATTTTAATTCAGTCATACAAATTATTTTGTTACGTTAAGGTCAGCAGTAGCTGATGCGAACATATGATTGTTTTCTTTGTTGCATTCACGTTTTTATCTGGACATTTTATCTTCCTCTCACTTTCAGGATTAGTGCTATAAATTTTAATTTTAGCATTCTTTGCAAGAACTAATAGTAACCATGTTTAATAGTGGCTGCCTAAAAGAGTAATTTATTGATGAAACAATATCTAAAATTTATTTAAATGTTTTAAATAACACAGTTTGGCTTTTCCGCTCAATACATCCTGTAAATTAATGTTGTAATGTGGTGTTCAAAACGATAAGCGACACAACGATAAGAGTCATTACATAAGAATAACTGGTTTATTTTCGGTTTGCGTTTGCAGGTGGTGGTGGCTTATCCCAGCCCTAACGTGGTGACGTGCACAGCGCGAGTGTGGCTGCGAGAAATTGGCTTCGCCCTCACGTACGGCGCTCTGATGCTCAAGACGTGGCGGTGAGTGTCACTTCTGCTTCACATTTCATTGGATTTTATTATTCATTTCGCTTCACATGTCACTCCTCTTGGCATTTCATGTCGCATCACATTTCATTCCACTTCACTTCAATTTTCATTTCACTCCACTTTTCATTTCACTTTACTTTTAATTTCGGTACGCATTTCATTTCGCTTCATTTTTCATTTCACTTCATATTTTGCTTTATTTCATGTTTTATTTCGATTCATTTTTTATTTTGCTTCACATTTCATTACGCTTCACATATCTTCTCGCTTCGCATTTCATACCACATGACATTTCATTTCGCTTCATATATCACTATTTTACATCTCATTTCGCTACACGTTTTATTTTGCTTCATATTTCATTTCATTTCACTTTTCATTTCGCTTCACATTTCACATTTGCCTTCTTTTCATAATTCATTTTGATTCACATTTCATTATGTGTCTAATTTCACACTTCACTTCACAAAGCGCTTTTGTCAACTTGTGACACATTGTCACGAGTCAGTAAACTCGTGACACATTGAAATCGTTCTCGTATAAAATTAAGCAAAAGTATTGTGCAGAAGATAAGTGTGTAGATATTTTTTCCTATTCTTGTCAACCCTGCACGGTGTCTAACATGTTTTTAAATTGAGTTATATTTTCCTCAAAATATTTCAATGTATTCTAACATCTTGTTGTCTTTCTTTAAAGTTAACTTAACTCCCCTTCGCAAAGTGCGCTTATCGCAAACCTACTCGCGACGTATTTAACTCTCTGCCGTTTGAAATCAAACAAAAGTATTAGACGTAATAAATTGCGCATGGTCATCATATATAATTTTTCATCCTGTTCGTTACAACTCTGCATAGGTCATACAGTTTTTCAAATTGATTTACGCACAGGTAAAATATTATTTGTATTTGCTTGAAGTATTTCAATGTATTCTACCGTTTTGGTTTTATCTTCACATTTAACGTGCCAAACCTCTGTAATATATTTTATTGTCTTCTTTAACAATTTAAGAACTTTAAAAGTGATATAAGTGCACAGATGTGTCTTTAAGATACTTCGTACGTGGGATACGTTTTTTTGTGTTGTTGAATTTGTTGTAACTTGCGCAAAATAAACTAAGAAACAATTTTGTTTGTGGTTGATTATCTGTACTATTGATTTTCTTTTTATGGAATTTTGAACGTTGCTTAAGGTACGTTTTATTCTATGGAAAATAGTGATAAAAATGTACTCTCAGAAAATTAGCATTTTCCAAAACTAATGAAATGGGAGCGTCAGTGGATTACCGAAAACATTAATTGACAGGCGTCGTATGTTCCGAAACAACAAATTACGCTGTGTTCCAACGTCGGCTATCTTGTTTCTCGATGCCTCGATGAAACGATAAACAGACGGCAAGTGACACACTCATAACCGTTCTCCCACAGCTAATGATGATTACGTGGGCGAGATATCTCGCTATTGGCCATTTGCGTATTACGCGCTCAATTTCTGATCCGCATCGCCAATGAGTGAGCGTTATTTGTTTTTAATGAGCGCCCGTAGGAAAATACGAGCCCAGAGTAGGGATGCCAATTAGCGATTTGCGGGAAGTTAAGTGGTGAAGCAGAGTTCACAATTTACTAGATTGATTACTAAAGATTGCGAGAATAATTTAGTGCGCTATATACTTGTAAGATTTATCCTTCATTCTTTCATCTCGTTAAGAATATTGGACAAGGTAATTTTGGAAATTGTTAATTATGTTATTATATGACTCTCGTAAGTTTCTACCCTTCACACACTCACTGACACTCGTAGGTCAGCAACTGTCATGTTAGCCTGTGGCGTCACATTAAACGCGTCCAAATTTACGACATAAATTGACTACTTTGTGTGGGTAAGTTAGTTATCTTTTAAATAATGAACCTATCTAAATTTCTTAATAATGCAAATACTTTTTTATTAATTTGTTCTATCATTGCAATCCTGTTATGTATGTATAATCCACTATGTATATGTATATATGTATTATGTATATATAATCCACTATGTATTTGGTTCATAAAACGACTTGAGGGAAATGTACCAAAATTTGAATATGCCAGTTAGTAATTTATTACTATTAAGATTGCCTCAACAGGAAAGAAATATTCGAAGTATATTAACCCACTATAAATTGGGTAAAACGGCGGCAACTAATGTGCTGGCAGAAAGTTCACAGAGCCGTACGCCATTAAAACACATAAAATTTACAAAGAAAGATACACAGTCGTCTGAATGGCCGAGATCGCTAACACAGTAGTGCCGTAGCGACTGAAGGTTCGCGGGTTTATCCTGCCTCGTACATGGATGTATTTGTGTTCGTCCTTTCACCCTTCACTATCACGATTTCACATCATAATGTTAACCCTATAGTGGTCGGTTAACCATAAATGGTAATCTATAGTGGTCACTAATGACCTACCTGTTATAGTAACCTTAAATTTAAAAAAGTATTCACGGATCGTTTAAAAATGTAGTTCTGAATGCGGCTTCCTCCTCCGGGTATCTCCCCCAGTGCGGCATTGCTCCAGCTCGGTCACGCTCTAAGCTCGCGACACGGGTGGGGGCATAGTACATATACATGTAAACGTGTGTGTACAGGGAGAGATGTGAAAAAGGAATGAGGAAGGCAAGATGGCGTGCGCGGTCCTCACCCCAGTGATAACGTGCCAATTCGACATTCACCTGATATTAATTGAGGACACCACGGAAAACTACCGGTCAGGACAGCCGTATATTGCCGATTCAGGTAGTATGCAACTAGAATCAGTTGTCTCCGGCCGCGGAAGCCTTCGCTTACCGTCTCTGTTGATGTCGACGTGAATGTGCTGCGCAAATCTGTGATGGGTTATCACACGTATAGATTTAATAAGAACAGTAAAAGTATATTAAATGTAAATATGGGCGACCGCAACAATTCAAGAGAGCTGATATACGCATACACACAGGGCTGGTATGCCCATGGAATACAAGCCCTGAGGAAGACCACTACAAGATGGTCGACACGTTGGCAACACAGCCTTCGACGCGGCGTCACCCGGACAGCCCAGATCACGCATATATTTTCTGTTCTTTAACCGGCGTGCGTGTCTTTAGAACTCGAAAAATACTTGTGTATCCATTTGGAAATATGTATTATTACCATATTTATTCTCTCTGCGCACAACCATTTGATGTCGGACGTCAACGTACATGCACTTATCACATGTATTATTTATGACACCGACGTGCGTGTCTTTAGAACTCGAAAAATACTTGTGTATCCATTTGGAAATATGTGTTATTATCATATTTATTCTCTCTGCGGACAACCATTTCAACGTACATGCGCTTACCACATCTATGTTGTTTGTACTGACACCGACGTGCGTGTCTGTAGAACTGGAAAGTATCGATTGGGAGCGTGGTGTTGCGCTGGCGTGCGCAGGATCTCGGTGATCTTCCGCGTGCGCTCGGCCAAGGCGGTGCGCATCACGGACGCGGCGCTGCTAAGCGTCTGCCGCGTGGCCGGTGCAGCGCGCTGCTGGCCGTGCGCACCCTAGTGGCGGCGCCGCGCGTCGTCGTCGGACGCACCGCCGAGGACCTCAAGGCGCCGCTCTGCCGCGCCGACTGGTGGGACCACGCCTTCAGCGCGCGTGAGTACCGCGCTCTGCATCGTTTGGCTCTGTCCCTATTGTTTTGGCATAAAGCGTTCAAGGTGCGTTTGGGCACGGTACACTTCGATTCTATCCCTTAGTTTTGGTATAAACTGGTTTCGTTTGTGCTCAGTAGCACAAAACATATATTGAGTTTATCACTCATTTTGGGCATAAAATACACACGTTGCACCACACAGGTAGCACACAAAGGACACTTTGACTCTATCCCTTATGTTTGGCATAATACGCGCAAGTTGCGTTTGTGCACTTAAGCACAAAACACACATTGGGTTTTTCTCCTTATTTTCGGCACCAATTTCGTACGTTTCATTTGCGCACGGTAGCACAAAACACTCATTTAGTCTATTTCTTATTTTTGGCGTAAAACACACACGTTGCACCACGGTAGCACACAAAGCACACTTTGACTCTATCCCAATTTTTGGCCTGAAACGCACACATTCAATTTGCGATCGGTAGCACACAAAGAACACTTTTGACTCTTACCTTTTAATTTTGGCTTAAAACGCTTACTTGCATTTGGGCACGGTAGCACACAAAGCACATTTCGGCCACTATTCCTTATTTGCTTGTGTACAAAACTGTTTTGTACTAGCGTACTGTAGCGTAGAAACAAAACTTTGCACTATCAAACAGAACACAAAGCAAACTTTCAAAAGTGTCTCTCCTCCGTAAAGAGCATCATTGACACTGTAAAATGGTATCATGTACAACAATCTTTGACAAATATCCGCTTGCACAAAAAGCACAATCACCATCCTGTAAAATCGTGGTGCGCACCACCAAGATCTCCTGGAACGAATCACCACGAAAAGAACAATTTGACTATCCCTTATTTTTTGCACGGAACGCACACATTGCATTTGCACACGCAAAGCATACTTCGACCACTATTCCTTAATTGCTTGTACAAAATCTTTTCTTACAGCTGAAATAGTATGGCACAGTAACGACACTTTACAATAAAAAAACATTATCCCACGACGTTGATAAATTAATCTCGTTAAGTCGAATAATATTTCGTACCCTTAACTTCAAACTTACAAATTTTTCTTAATTCACCATTACGGATTTTATGTTTTCTCGTTTTATCTCTATTCTTATCTCGCATGTCCTCCTTGCTTACTTACACTTATCATTCAAAACGTTTTTAATTTCCTCTTTTCATTAGTTTATTTTTAATTCAATCTCTTTTTCATTGGTTATTTCTCTGAATTCTTCGTTAATTTCTTTTTATTTCAGCTTTCTCTCTTCTTTTCTCACATTGTGAATTTTGTAAGACATCAATATTCGTTTCATATGTTGTACAATATCATGCACTGCTTTCTTGTTTCTTTTCATTTCCACACTTTTTTCTTTTTTTATTTACTTTTATCTTACCTCGGAATTCTCTATGTACCAATCTTCCTTGTCGTAGAACATTATTTTCTCTCTGAGGTAATTTCTAGTATTATCTTGACTATCACCTTTTAATGTTGTTTAATCTTCTAAAATTAAAGATGTGACGTCTTTCATATATCTCATTGCTTTTTAAAAATCATGTAAAACTTTAATACTATTACCATTCGTTTTATTAAAGATGATATTACGTTTTTGTTTTTCAGTTAATTTAGATTCCAATCTCAGCATATAAAAGTGCTATTTGGAACTGACTTTTACACTGCGAAGAGTGGATTCCCAGTAGTAATAATTAACGCTTTTAGAGTTTATTCTGCAATGATGCCCTTTGTTTTAATCAGTGAGCTACTTTTAAAATAAATGGCGTGCACACAATGATATTTATTCAACACTTGATGAAACGCAATTATACGTAGCCCAAGCAATTCTTTTAGGTTTTGCCGCGATCAAAGGCGTTATTCTTCCAAAAAAGAAAAATTATTGTGAACCATCTCACGATTTAATAGTATTCTCTTTGACTCTGTTTTATGGATCGCATTAATCTTCCTCAATTCTTAAAAACTTCTCTCCAAAAGAAATTTTAAAATGGACTTAAAATTACTTCTAAACCGTTACGTTCCCGTCCCAAGGCACGAAATTTCTAAAAAGAAAAATAATTCTCGTTTTGTGTCTGCTTGATGTAATCTCATTAACAAGTACTCGTAAAAGTGGTCTCTAAAAGGTCTTTAATTATTTTTCTGCGCGTAAACACTGAAGATCCTACCAGTTTAATAGCTTTTAAGCTCTTTTTTATCGTGGATGTTCCTTAAATTCAATTTCTGGTAACTTTTTGTTGTGAAGCAAGACGTCACAATATTATGTAATTATTTTGTCCTCCCCAAAATATTCGAAACATTATACGTTTTAAAATTGTGTTATAGAATATAGATACAGGGGTCTTAAAAAGAAGAGAGATGATAAATTTTACTCGTTACCAAAACCACGTCACTATAGTTAATTTTCTTTTTCTACATCGAAACTTTGGTTTTCTAATGGAAATTATCTACATGTAGTCTGTTGTTTGTAGTACGTTGAAATTAAGACATTCTATAACGTTTCGTTTGAAGAAATCTACCTGTTCAAATATAGATGTGTATTCTTGATATCAGGTGGGTTTCAAATAATTCCACAATAGTATATTTTATTCTAAATTTGAGCTCATCTATTACCACTCTAAGAATAATATGACCCTTGCAAACGCATCATCATCGTCATCAGTGGGGGTTATACAGCTGACCCGTTTTCTACCCCTCCGATTACACAGACCTCGATCTCGCAATGCATCTTCCTCTTCCTTGAGTCCACTTGCGAGCATTGCACTGAATTGAAATAAATTGATACTTTATGTTACGTTGCGCGGCTGGAGCCATCAGTCTTGCTCTTCCATCTGACCATGCAAATTTTGCTACGCTCCTTTCACCCACTAGCGTAGAAAGGTATTTCTTCGGCTACAAATCAGGCGATTTGTATTTAGCTCAGATGCTTCATTCAGGCTTGAGGATCTTTTATATGCAGTAAATATACTAACATGGGACAGCCGGCTTTACTTCCCCTCCGAAAGAAGGAGTACTAAAGATGTTTTGGCCTTTAAAAATCCACGGCTTTGAACCCGCGAACTTGGTCACAACAGTCCAATACGCTAGCAGTTATACCACGCCAGATGTTTCAGACCTTCCTCTCCTCTTTCTTCCTACAGGTTGATACAACATGGCCTTTTTTTGGCCGTCTGTTTGCTACCATGCGTAAAACATGGGCTGGTCACAAAAGCGGAATTTCTTGAATTGAAAAGAATGAGTCAATTGTACTAATAAAAAGTACGTGTAAGATCAATTTGTCAAAATGTGCTCCAGGTATGCGTTCAATTCGCTTTAAACGTTTCTCACACATGCAGGTGGAACTTACATAACAGTTTCCGAATGTGGTACTTCAAACATTAAAGAGAAAAGAGAGACACGCTCCAAAAATACTGAAGCGTTCATGAACAACGAAAATCGCAGCATTTGTTTAAATTGCCTAATTTCAGTGAGTAAAATATATTTTGTAACATTTACTTCGTGTACTTATTGCAACAAATGTTTATTTCCCAATCATCAGTTGCAGGTGTACCCACGTCCTCCTGACTACCAGATAATCATGTACTTCATGGAGAATTCTTTTGCATATTTTTCTACTCCCGACTTGTGCATTCAGACATAATTTTCCCTCTCCCACCTGTTTCTCTTTCGGACCTCATTCTACGTCCATTCCCTTTTCTATCTCTTTCTGTCCATGGCGCACCCAATCTCTCTCTGTTCTCCCCTAAGCCACCCTTGTTCTCAGATCTCCAAAGTCGAAAGGTCGACTTGGAAAGTTTTAATTGCTTTCACTAATAGGAAATAACTAAGTTTAGCCAACTGTTCCCAGTGTACAAATTATTAGAAGCTGGTACTGTAAGCCCTTTCTCTACCACAATGGATCTCGTTTCTCTCCGCATTAAGCCTTGGTCTTGGTTATTATCTCTCTGTATTGTATCGTCCTTTGTGTTCTAATGATACCATTCTAGCTTCATAGTTTCAGAGACTATTTCAGAACGTTTATGAGGGTGATAAACGTTGATGTAAAATGAAAGTTAAGTCGCTGTAGCAAATTTTAGATTTGGGACATGAGCAATAGGTATGTAGCAATCTCACCTCAAATGGCAAATATTTTAATTCAATTCATCTACAACCGAACTATCATATACGATGAAAAAAATAATAAATTACAGCTGAAACCTCAAAGTTCCAAATGTAATGTAAATTGTTTATTATTTCACAATCACATATTCATTTGAAACTTCTTATTGTTCAACGTTTTGTAATCTTATCACCATTATATTTAGGCAGACAATAGTAATAAATAATATCGCGAACTAAATTATAATAAAATGGATAAACAAATTAAGTTATTAATATTGAAAGGAAAACACAAAATAAAAAATCTAAAACAAAATCAACGACAATGATAAAATATAAGCAATAAAAGTCAAAAATGTTATACTCTTAATTATTATTATTATTAATAGTAATAAATGGTAACTCTACTATAATCATTAATTTATTGGTGTCTTATTTCCCATTCTCTCAAAATGTTTTTCTCCCAAGAGATAACAACCGCAGTGTTTATGAACTGACCTTTTTTTCTTATTCTATTCCGAAGGTCGAAGTTCTCACCCGTAAGAATAGAGTGCCCGTTTACAGACCGACCTCGCAGGGAGCTCGCGTTTTATGCAGGCTCCATTGGCCCAAGGGCCATTGGCGAGAATGGCTTTTTCTTGACTTCCTGTAGTTTTCCTCTGCGTTGTGCACTCCTTTCTTAAACAAACATCTAGGTTTCATTTCACTCGAGAAAATTCTTCATCATCTTTTTCTCAATTAAATAAATTGTTTTGCTTAACATCGTCTTGTCTTTCTCTTCTACAATGTACAGAAGATTGATCCGAAGCTCTGAGAATAGTGTTAAGCTAAAGAAACAATAATTGAACAAAAGTTCCTTTTGTTAGAAGAAAAACGCAAATTTACAAATTGACAGAATTATGGTGCCAGTTATAGTGGTACCGCAGGCGATTCTATGATCGTGTCCGATTTGAAACCACTAGTAGGCCGTCACAATTACAGTGCACTCGGTAATCACAAAATACGCTAATGACCTCAAGAGTCCACAACAGGTCTTGAAAATACGCACGAAGGTGCGGTGATATGCAGTCCGCATTAAATAAATATAAAACACTTTCTGCGAAATGTTTTGCTTCTAATGCTAAAACTGTAAAGGAATTATTTACTACTAATATTTGAGTAACTTGCTCGTGTTTTTTTCCACCTGCTTACGTAGTATTCAATTATATAGGTATGTCAGACTAAATGATATAAACTTCTAGGGCATATAGAGGGTTCGAAAATAATCACTCTACATGTAACATAATTATAATGGGACATTTGCCCCTGATAGTTTGACAACTCATGTGGTCGGTGGGTCACATTCTGATGCAGTTAAGTAGCTACTATGTACCTGCCGAACACATGTACACACGAAGTTGCGTAGCAATCACGAAAAAATGTCGGTCATTGTTAAATTTGTTTTATGAAATTTCCCAGTAAATATCTAGTGTCAAAAGAGATAAATTTCGATCCCTCTGCATGCCCTACATATTTGTATGTTATATATCACTTACTACATAACATGTAATGAGGCATATATATCATGACTATACATTACAGATCATAAAGAGGGAAAATTATTTCAGTCTCTGATTTCGTGGTGCGCGTTCCGTTCCAGTGGAGGCGCTCTTCCTGGTGTGGGGAATCCGGCTGTGCATCGTGGTGCGCAAGGCCCCCTCCGAATTCAACGAGAGCCGCTTCATCTCCATGGCCATCTACAACGAGTTCCTTCTCTCCGTCTTCCTCAACATCTCCATGTGAGTACTCCGGCCATTAGGTTCAGGGATAAAAAAAGCATTTGTTGCAAGCACACCTGGATAAACAAGAAATCAAAAAACCTATGTTCTAAACAATAAATAGTTGAAGTTTTGAAATATATTATTTCCTTAATAGAGTAGGGTAATCATCATTCAAGGTGTACAAGTCGAGATTTTGCTTTTCATGTGACCGCTTCATGGCGTACTCTATTTATCATAGGTACCACGAGTGCTTTGGAAATTGTCGATAAACTCTCGACTCGCGTACCGAGGAGGGGATTTATCTGAGAATTTCTAAAGCACGAGTGGTATTTAATAGGACTATTCCACGAGTGAAATTATGTCCAACAGAGTTCCAAAACGCGTCAAATATTTAAAATATCTAAAAGCTATGTTACGATATTTCTTACTCCGTGGCAAAGTTAAAATCAAATATGTTGTTTCACAGTGCATACGTGGTTTATTGTACATCGACATAGTGGTCGATGTACAGTACCACCTCCTAAGATAGATGAGAGACAGTTTTTGATTGGCCAATAGGAAGAATCAGTAAGAAAAACGGATAGAAAAAGCGAAAAAAACTTTTTTAGATACACCGCCCTGATTGTGGCATTTTGTATGTACAGTGAAACACTATTGGTTTCAATTTCACGAGTGGAATAGTGACCGTAATTTTCAATTATTTTCATGATACAATTTTGTGAAACAAAATAGAGTGAACGTTTTTCGGACTGTCCTAAATATTTGAAACGTTTCTGATATTTAGATTAGTGAGGTTCTGCGTTTCTTAGCTGAATGTTATTCTTGCTTTGTGAGAAAATGAAAAAAAACGAAATCGAAAAATAACACATTATATTTGAAACTTCTAATAACAGAGTATATTTTCATTTTCTTGTAAAGAATTTTTTCAAAATGTGGAAGGAAATTACACAGTTTAATTTTAGTTTCCTTTTCTTTCTTTACAGGCTGTTTCTGCAGTCCCCTGCCAATCCAGATCTGCTTTATATTATATTCTTTGCTCACACGCAACTTACAGTCACCATGCTGCTTGGCCTGATCTTCGGCAGCAAGGTAAGTACTCCACATGTGGATCTTAATTGCAGAAAAATTATATTCAGATCCATTTAAAGAGGATACCTAGCTCGTGGACATTCGCGTGTTAGAGACTGAGGTCGTATAAACCCATCCTGATGGTGTTGAAATTGATGGTAGGAAGAAAATGTGTAAATAAATTAATTAATAATACCTTATTTATAATTGGCTATTTTCTTCTCTGTAGAGTCACTGAAGACGAATTAAAATTCTAGAAACATGTGTATGGCTAATTGTTTTTAATATTAAATATAATTTTAAATAAACTTTGTAGTTGGTACCTCCTGGGTCCTTAATCATTATGGATTGCCACAATGTATATACTCCCACCATGGAATTTGATAAAGAAATTATAAACCTTAGGCTGTATTTCTTCGTCAGTTTCAATATTATACTTAGATTCAAATAGTGGGAGAGAGATTGCAAATCTGCATGTTGGATAAAAATAATAACTTGTTGAATTTGCTTACTGTTTTTTGTGAGAGTAATTAAGTAATATAAACCAATAATGCATTTTGATATTTAAAATATTAAATTCTTAATTTTTTCGCTTTATTGAATACTCTAATTGTTATTCATCACATTTTTGTTATTATTTTATTGAGTGTATTGGCAGTGGTAGTGCGGTTGCAGTTAAACCTCCCCAACATTATTTTCAGTATTGTTTTATCGCCTGGATCAGAACGAAATATACATAACGTATTATTTCACATGACTAATCCGCCACCGTCGGGCCTCAAACCATAGAACCTCACAGTTAAAAGCGCCGCAGTGACCACAGTTGTTGCTCTAAACTACCTCAGTCGATATCTCGGTAGTGAATAAGGCATTACTGACTAGGACAAAGTATCTACTCCAACACGCTTCCACGAATACAGCCTTGAGAAGTAAGTCAAGATGACAGCGAATGTTTTTTTTACAGGAGACAGTTGACCAGTTAGTATTCGTGTTATCGTGTAAACGGTGCTTTAAAAAGGTTAAATATATGTACAGCGATGTTCACAGCGCTAGTTTGGCCTATTATTGACGCGCAGGCATCATTTTATTTTATCGTGCCAAGAATTTTACGACATAGTTTGTCCTTTCATTGCGGTGTTTACTTCATCTTTCCATTTCACTCACGATCCATCTCTTTTTCCGTCTTTCTTGCATTCAGTACTAACACTTTTTCTGGCAATCTTTCAGTATCCATCCTTTCTATTATAAAATCAATATGAGGTTAAATCAGTTTAGACATATGCACTGTAATGTGCTGCATGTCAGTGAGTACCAAATAAATACATTATCTGTCATCTTCGTAACGATCAATTTCCGAATCTATGTTCTAATAACCTTTTTCCTCTTCATCATGAAGTGTCGAATACTGAGGTTTTATTGTTTAATTTTTGATACATCGCACATCGAAAATCAACACTTAAGAAGTACTTTGTTTCGACGTTCCGTTTTCAGAACAAAAGCACTCTTTTTCTCTAATCGATTAGCACGGACTTACCTTCTGGTGCAGTTTAAACCAAATCCAAGCCTCAATAGAGTCAAGTATTGCGATTATGGTGCTTCTGATTAAAGCAAAACTGTATTTATTAGCGACAATACCCAGACGAATTGGCACCCCAACCCACTGAACACTTAATTGAAATGCATATGGCTTTACAAACCAAACAAAGGGTCTCTTTACTACAAAACCGTATTGCATTTACAGCTGAGGAAAACCAAGGCACTCAATGGTGGAATCACTGGAAAGGAAGAATTTTGTACCGCCATATTCGAAGATCAACGAATGTGATGCTATCTAGAAAACTAGTGAGATAACAGAATGGCACAGGCTTTTTCGTTCTAGTACTTTTCTAAGCTTTAGTATAGTCTGGGCTAACTAACATTGCCTCCCACTCTTCCCAGCTTCTAGCTATTGGCACCTGAAAAACAATGTTCCACATTTTCTCTATTTTTCAATCTCCTAATAGTGGAGTTGAAATTTAACTTTAATAACATTAGAGAGGAGTAAAACATGGTCATATTAGTAAGTTTTCATTAAAAACTTTGCCGCCATTATCCAGACAATTTCGTTTGAGAGATATTGAAAATGTTGAATTTTGAGTTCATTTTGACAGAAGAATTTTGATATTTTGAGAAAACTTTAAAAATCCAATAACGTATAAAATGTCCGTAATGAAAATTTTAACGACGTGAGAGAGAATTTTGCAAAAATTCGATTGTGTAATTTTTGAAAAATCACAAGAATACATTTACTGGTGTAATGAAATGTTAATCGGTGTATTTAGCATTATCCGTACAAAAGATTTAAAGAAAAAATTTAGAGCCGTTTTTTTCTGAAATTTTTTAATAAAATTTGGCACATGAGACTGTATTTCACTCCTCCATAAAAGTCTTAAAGTCATATATGAATTGAACTATTAGGGGAGGAAAAGTTGAAAAAAATTAAAACTAATTTAAGAATCGTGAGGGTAGGTCTATATCAAAAAGGTAGCACAGGCTAAAGATATATAAAAACTAAGTAGGGCGAGAACGTCTGTGACATTCTGTGGCACCACAAGTTGTTTGTATCTCATATCTCAAACAGTTTTAGATTTGGGCTTACGAAGAATAGTTCAGATTTCTGCCATTCCTTTCCTGTTCGTATCTGAGTGAGTAGGACTTAATTCCGTTATACCTGATGCAGGTCGTGTTCTGTGTGCGATGAGCGTGGGTGTGGCTGGTGTGAGGTGCGCAGGTGTGACTAAGAGTGCGAATACATCACCTACTAGTTCAGAGTGCTGATATTGTTCTGGGCGTAACTGAGTGTGGAGAATTTGTTCAGTGAGACTGTCACGCAACGTGTCCAGGGAGGATTTTGTTGCATTAGACCTGACGCGTGATGAATCCGGTGTGAGGTGCGCAGGTGTGGCTGGTGGTGTGCACACGGCATCCAGTTCAGCGTTCTGCCACTGTTTTTCGGTGCATAACCGAGTGTGTAGAAATTTTTTCCATGACATCTGACGATGATTATGTGCGACGTACATAGGTGGAACTGGTGAAGCTCACTCATCCTCTAATTTAGCTCGTTGCTATTGTTTTGCTGTGCGTTGCTGAGTATGCAGGATTTGGTTGCGTGACGACTGACGCTGAATGTGTGCGGCGTTCTCACGTGTAGCTGGTGGCACTCATTCGGCCTCTAATTCATCTCGCAGCCACTGTTTTCCTGTGCGTGGCTGAGTAGGCAGGATTTTGTAGTGTGACAACTGACGCGGGACATACCGTGTTTGCGGCGTTCGCAGGAGTGACTGGTTGCGCTCACTCACCCTCTGATTCAGCTCGCTGCCATTGTTTTCCTGTGCGTAGTTGAGTGTGCAGGATTTTGTTCCGTGGCGGCTGACGCTGAGTGCGTGCGGCGTGCGCAGGTGTGGCTGGTGGCGCTCGTTCTTCCTGTAGTTCATCTCGCTGCCATTGTTTTCCTGTGCGTAGCTGAGTGTGTAGTATTTTGTTCCGTGGCGGCTGACGCTGAGTGTGCGGCGTGCGCAGGTGTTTCTGATGGCACTCATTCGGCCTCTAATTCATCTCGCTGCCATTGTTTTCCTGTGCGTAGTTGAGTGTGCCGGATTTTGTTCCGTGGCGGCTGACGCTGAGTGCGTGCGGCGTGCGCAGGTGTGGCTGGTGGCGCTCGTTCTTCCTGTAGTTCATCTCGCTTGCTCATTGTTTTCCTGTGCGCTAGCTGAGTGTGTAGTATTTGTCCGTGGCGCTGACGCTGAGTGTTGGTGCGGTGCGCAGGTGTGAGTGTGAGTGCGCGCGCGCGGCTCGCCCCGAGGAGACGGGTCGGCGGCGGGCGGCGCGCGCGGCGCCAAGGCGCTCGCGGCAAGTTCGGCACGCGGGTCGCTTCGGGCGCCGTCTCGCGGGCCAGGGCGCACCGCCCTCGCTCATCCTCCGCGCCCGCCCACGCCGCCGCGCCCGCGCCCACGCCCGCCCCCCAGCGGCGCGCCGCCCCGCGCCGCCCACCGCGACGCGCAGCCCACGCCACGAGCTCGACGCGCAGTGAGTCCGCCGACGCGCGGTAGCTGTTTTTGAGGCCCCTTCCCACGCCACGGCGTGCGCTTCTGAGCAGCGCGGCTGTAGCAAGGCATTGGTTTTTGAATGGAGGCCTTCCCACGTGCAGCGGTGGCCGCTGCTGCGGCAACGAATGCCGAACTCCCGCCTCGTGAAGCGCGGAGGGCGTACGCGCCACGGCTAGCACTACACAGCTTTAAATGGGAGCCTTTCCACTGCCGCGCGCCGCAGCGTTCTACCTGCCCGGTCCCTTTGTCGTCGTCGCCGGAGGGTCGCGAAACCTACCCCTCCCGACCCCCCACCCCCTCCACGTCGGGCGGCGGTGCGGCCGTGGCTCCTGCGGTGGCGGCGTCGAAAGACTCTGCTGTCTGAAGCAAGCGCCGCGCGTAGCATGAGCATTGGTTGTTGAATGAGGCCTTCCCACGTGCAGGGTGGCCGCTGCTGCGGCAACGAATGCCGAACTCCCGCCTCGTGAAGCGGGAGGGCGTACGCGCCACGGCTAGCAGTACACAGCTTTGAATGGGAGCCTTCCCACTGTGCCGCCGTTTACCGTCTCCGGTCCCTTTGTTCGTCGTCCCGGAGGTCGGCGAAACCTACCCCTCCAGACCCCACCCCCTTCCACGGCGGGCGGCGGTGGCTGCGTCGGAATGGCTCTGCTCTTTGAAGGAAGCGCGGACGCCGTGGCGACGTGGGAAGGTGCCCTTATATAGACCATTCTACTCGTAAAATTAAATCAATCTCTAAAACCAACCTTCTTTTCTTAACTACACATCCTTAACTCTTCATTTTCCTTATCTAGGCATACAAAATGCACGAATGAGGGTGGTGTATCTCAAAACGTTTATCGCTTTTTCTATCCGATTTTTCTAATCGCTTCTTTCTACTGGCCAATCATAAACTGTGACTCATCTACCTTAGGAGACGATATATATCAATCGCTATGT